TTAGTACATTTTTGTCCCGTGAGTAGAGTTAAGCTATGCGGAAGAGCTGAGAAGCCCCGTACAGCTGTTTCATCCTTGTTCAAGTTCATCAGCAGTGCGCCTCCAGGAGGGACCGCGACCTACCGGCCAGTGACTGAACACTTAACCGCTTGTGCGCGAGTGCTTGATCAGCAATGTGATTAGCTCTCACGTAGACGGGGTATATCGCCACTCATCCTTCACGTCACAAGAGCCTTATCACTTAGTCAGGTATTGACTGGCTCCTTGATGGAAGTCTCACTCATCATTCTTCCTATGAGCCACCGAGTTACCTAGTGGAGATGGACGGACACTCAGCACGGAAGTTACTCCAGTAGGGGGTGGAACTGAAATCAGGCAGCTTGGAGTGACCGGAATGCATTCCTCAAGGTTGAAATTTAACCAGTCTGACCTCTCTAACATATAATCTACTGCCTGAATCCTGCACGTGATTTACATGTATTTAAATATGGAGCGTCAAATTGGAGGTCGCTCAACTTTGTAACGGAAAAATGGGTGTGAGAATTCCATGAATTCTTGCGTACTTTGCTTAAGTTGAACGAATTAAACACCGTGGTGACCTAACAACCAATGTACATGTACGTACACACACAAACGCAAAGTCATTGATCAGTGGAACTTGTAAAGTTGTGGAATTAAGTTACCATAACCAAATCACACGAATTAGTTTAGGCTGATTACCGCTCAAATTTGATTTCAAATTTGAAATGACTTGTTTGAGTAATTGTCATTTACTGTTGTCATTCAACTGTGCGGACTGTTGTCTGGCTATCATAAGCTTCACGAATGTTTGTCGGTCTCACTAACCGTTGGTGAGTTGAGTCCCGGGATCCCCATCCAAGGAGACGGTAGTTGTCGAAATGACACAGTTGACTAGTTAGTGTTCTCAGACTTCGCTGTCCGCCTCTCGGTCTCTTACACTCAGCACAGGGCTGGGGGGCCGGGCGAGGCAGACGGTCTTCTGGCATGCGGAGTACATGTCTTTACCAGTGGGTATTTCACCTATCATTGGAGAGTTCCTTCTTCGTAAGACCATCCGGTGTACCTCATCATCTCAAATCCGATATTCACACCAAACTCGGTCAATGCTGAGCTGATAGGCCACGTTTCTGATCCATAAAGTAGTATGGCGTAAACTCCGCCTTTGATAGACAAACTGATGTCACGTCGGTGCCATAGACATCGGAGTTTGGCAAAAGCTGCTCTGGTCACCTTGATTTGAGAATTAATCTCATCTGCAGCCAGTTCACCGGAACGTATACAACTGTCCAGGTAAGCACATTTATCTACCATGTCGACTGGCTTGTCTGCACGCATGAGGTCCGGATTTGACCGCATCCAGTCGTGTATTAGCACTTTTCAGGTGTGAAGCTCGTGCCGAACCGTTCTGCTGAACTATTTAGGTCATTTAAAATGGATTGCACTTTTGAAGGTTGTGATCCAAGGAGAGCAGTATCATCTGCATACTCAGTGTCTCTGAGCGCATTTCGACCCCGGAAATTTCAGAGGTAGCCGGAGAGATTTCCAGCAGCAGATGATTGACAAAGTTGAAGAGGAAAGAAAAAGAGTGCGGTTTTGTCTTACACCACTGGATGTGGTGAACTATGGCGAAATGTTACTGTATACTCATACCCATCTGCAGGATTGTGCGTACAATGCCTTTATAAGGATATAAATTTGGAAAGAACACGCTTGGTTGCGAGACACATCCAAAGTTTCTGACGGTCGACAAAGTCAAAAGCAACCTTCAGATCTAGAGAAGCGACCAACGTGGGACTTTTGAAGATGTGACCATGTTCAACAACTCGTTTTGGACTAATGTTGTACGTATCTAACTTAAGTGACTGCTGTCACACAGTTTTAGGGTAGAACAGCAACTTGTTGTGCTCTTCAGTTCATCCGGTGAGTTTCACACGATGAACGGCTTGTCACTTTTGAAGAAGTATGACCGTTGGAGTCACAGACTAGTAGGGAGAGCGATATCATATAGACAAGGGCCAGTAATCTGCAGTATATCCTTTCCGAAACTTCTCGGGCTGTATGGCGTACACCATCACTGGCAGGATAACGAAGGAAGAAGACTGCTGGCCTCATCAAATCAGCTAGTCAGTGAACCAAGCTTCAAGAATTTTACCGCACTTCATTCGGTGAATGTACTGCCCTGCTTCCTGAGGACTCTGGAAGTCCTTTAGCTTGACTGGAGCCAAATCAACGAGTGTGTGAAGTGAACAGAATGCCACAGTAACCGAACCAATTAATGGAAGATGGGAAAAGTTTCCGGTGGATTTGCAACTGGAAACGTCAGGTTTTTTTAGAAGCGAATACACGGTGGTGCTTTAAGGTGAACTATACTCTACCGGGGGGAGTCAGCTAGTCATATCAGACAGGAAGGGCCACAGCGCCTTTGCCGACGGCCGGATTCGAACGAAGGCGACCGAACGCTGACTAATTGAAACAATATTTTTGGCACCATTGGCGCCCGGGATCACAAGTTCTCGATATCATACTGGAAACAAATTTTCTAGGGCGTCAAGGTGTCCTTATACCGATTTAACCATTCATCAATATTCTGTCAAATCAGTTTTCAATCATCGTTCTCACCATCACAAATCTTCCTTACTGTTGCCAGAGTACGTATCTTCATAGTGTGTAAAGATACCTGCCTACGTAATGCTGTTCAATAAGATGGGATTGGTCCAGTTTGGTAGTGGATTTGAACAGGATTTCTGTATAAATAGCTGTACTTGGCACCGTTTCTCGGAGAACCGTGCACAACAACGGTCACACGCAATAAGATTGAGGGATAAGAGCGATTTTTAGAATTCACGTTCACATCACTCTCGCTTGAACATTCCTTTTCTTGTCTTGTCCTCCTGGGGAGCCATTCGACTTGAGTTTCGCTCTCTTTGGAACTCGCTGTCCATGTCAGGCTTCGTACTCCGGACATTTGTCGTGCAAGGCGAGGGTGTTACCACTACTCCAACAGCGAACTCTGGACGTACAGTCCTCTTTTCTGAACAGGCGAACATATTTACCCTTAAGCGGTGTGATTTGTTTGCCCACCCCCTCGAACGACCATCCAGTAACTGTCCTGGTTGTGTCGATGGATTGATACACCTGTCAGCCCTTCCCCATCAGGTTGCACCACGGAAACTTGAACCCTGGTGAACAATTTTACTTAGTCCTAGATAATTGGGGCATTCGCAAAATTCACGTTCCCATCACTCCCGTCCTGGCCCAATTATTTTGGTGAGTCCACGCCTGCCCGACCAAGGATATGCGCTGTTGATGAACCCTAGTAAGAGCTACTTTGGTATGGCCAGGATAATTTAAGTCTGCCGGTTATTCGTTTACTGTTCAGTAATGGCGTAACCTTAGATGGTGATGTGACAGGCGGTACGGGGACAAAGTGCACGGGGTTACAATCACTAACGAAAGCACTTATTGCTCCCACTCAGCGTGTATCAAGTGCTGGCGTGAACAAATAGGATAGGATTTTCGTAGAATGCGCCCGTTCGGCGCCCTGTCGCTGTAGGCCTGCCAACGGAGGGTAGTCTGCCTGCACTGCTGGCAAGCAGCTCTGCAAGGGGCGATTTCTGTCAGAAAACAGTGAATATTGTTAGTAGCAGTTGGCGAAAATATATTAGCAAGACTCTTGAGAATTGAGCAGTTCGATTTTTTTCCCACGAATCTGGACTAACGTCTTCTGAAGATGGTGGATGCACTAAGATGCCCATCAATGTTTATGAATTCAACCAATTGGTGCGTTGCTAAATCAAGCCGGTGCTTCTGGCCGAACATTCCCATTTGGAAAATAAGTTGGTGTCAGCGGGAGATCCGACTGAATCCCTCCACTTCACAAAGATCACCCATCTTCCCTTGGATACGATGTTCGAAATATCGGTTTGGGAAGACCGCCGGAGACCCCACGGCCGTTTTCGCCCTTTGTGGGACTCACCGCGTGAGCACGGTCTCCGGGGTTCTGTCAACTTTATGTTCAACAGATGTCGAAATGCATCATTCATTCACAAAAATTAGGTTGATGTTAGCGAATAGCGTACTAACTGGGACATAAGCCTAGCATTTTCAGTTGAAGAATACGATAAACGAGAAATTCAGCTGGGATTTCCTTGGGCCTTCCGGTAACAGCAAAATGATCTACAAATGAGTTCAACTCACCAGTTCGTACAGTTTGGCGTTCAAGCAGAAAGTGAAGTTGACATTACTTGATGAGCTACAACAAGGATGAAACCGGTCCGTGGACTGTCCGAGAGTTTTCTCCAGCCTCAAAGGTAGTGGTCCGTCAAGAGATTGAATTGATTGTAGTTTACGGCAGATTGTGCACACGAATGCCACATGTTTAGTCCTGCTTATGAGACAGTTAAGAATGCTCACGCGCCGGTGCTGTGTGTTCTCCAAATTTTCCTCATTTACGTTCCCCTTTTTAATGCGACCATGGGAAATATTGTGGATGCAACCCTAGTCTCTCATATACTGGACAAACTAGATCGAAAGGTTTATGGCCTTCAAGTTGCTCTTCACAGTGGGACAGAGTTCCTCCTGATGCTGCCACTTGTGTGATATGGTCATGAGCCGCACTTATTTCGCACCACACAATGCGTCTTTGCTCCTAGGCTGTCGCAAATTCGAACGTCACGGTAATATCCGATGCGGTGCGTGTGGTCGTCTGTTTGATACAGCACGTGGCCTATCCTGTCACCGGCGGATTCACAGATACTAACGAGAAGACCGGTATAGAAGCAGCTGATACTGCGGTGTCATGTAGGTACACGGAGTTTCATTACAGCCCTTTGCTGTTCGTACACCCTTCAGTTTCGTTTCGTTTCGTTTCGTTTTTTCTCGCTTTTTCGATTATTTCAGCCGTTTGATAGAACCTGTCAAAACTGGATGGAATAGAATTTAATGCCTGAAATGGGTTTTCTGCAAGTGTGCTACACCTCGAAACCGAAACAGCACTGGATTTGATCCTGGTTCACTATCTGCGGGCACCAGAAAAACTTGTAGCCGAAGTCGATTTTAGAAAAGTTGCGATTTTCTCCTCAGTATCACCATCATCATCCTTGACAGAATCATATCGGTGTTCAGCACCGACGCTCTGCCACCGTACAACCATGATTTATTTGAAAGCGTTATTCTGGACAAAAGAATAAAGGTAGGCTGGGAAGGGACTTGGTGCTTCCTAGCTTACTACAATCATTCCGAGGTGCCTATACCTCCAGATGCTAATTCAGGCAATGTGGATAGAAGCTGACAACAAGAGCGCCACTGACATCGATTTGCAGCCATATCTTGCAGTGTCTGCAACCAGGCACAGTGAGTATCACGTGATCACCATCCCGTAAGGCGAGTCTCCGAACATGAACTGATGACGGCCTGTAATGAGAGCAACAGCTGAGTCCAGCCCTCATTGTCTGCTGTGACCCAGAGAAGATATTCGTGCCGGGACGAAGGGAAATTTATTCATGCGGGAGCAATAGATCATGTGGATAGCCACGAGTTACAATTGGATGCATGAGCTCCTTCGCAGTTACTGTCAGGAACTAAAAGGACAAATGACAAGACGGTGCACGATAGTTACGTAACAGATAGCGAATGGTTTCCAGATCATTTGGACAGTTGCACTAACGACTAGTTCTTGCTTGGGCTTGCAAAAAAGATCAACATGAGACCAGACCAGGCGAAATTTGTCCCTCTGAAATTGAAGAGTGCGACTGCGTGGTCGGATAGCTAGGGCCTCCTCACTTGTTCTTGACTGGCGTTTTCGTCTACACGGTAAATGTCAGATAACGTTTTCCTCCGTTAACAAGCCATGCTGTACGGAATGATCCGGTTCCGCCAAAAACACTGTCAAATAGGCACACAACTCTAACTCTTGGTCTTTCAAACAATGTCAGATCACTAGATTCAGGCTGATGATGGGGTTCGAACTTCCCAAAGTAGCCACCGGGAATGTGTGATGTCATGGTTGATCTAGTATTTCTTGGGTCTGTGAAAGCTTCACGAATGATGTGATCCGACCTCCACGAGCAAACTTTGTTCGCACGATCTTCTTCCTGTTACGCGCGCGGTTGCAATTGTGGCCAGCGTTGGGTTGGCTTTAACGCTATTCCTTGCGATTATTATGGCAGACAATTTACAAAGCCTGTTTGAATAAACATAGGAATTCGGTTAGAAGAAATTTGAGTTAAAAATCAGGCGCGTTGTCCACTCAGTGATACAGCTGATAGCACAACGAAATTACTTATCAATCACACGGGTTCGAATTCATTCATGGCTTCTTTTGATTGGTTGCCCCCGTTTTACCATATTTTCCAAATGCGTTTTGGCAACTGACGTGTTTACGTTTGAAACATTTTTGAAGATGTTGTAAGAATTCCAAAGTGAACCATGCCTGATGTTTTCAAGGTCATCGCTCCGAATTCATGTTTCAACAATGTTCGGAATGTGACCAATCCACCTTACGTTTCCACCCAATATGGAGGTGGGATAAGTTTTTTTTTTTTGAATGAACAAGCAGTATCCTATCCATTGTTTCACGCGTTTGTTGCAGTCGTTCACCTGATCTTGTCCACTTCCAACTCTTAATACGTTTCACACCCACATTCGTATTGTTCAGATTTGTGGAAAGCGCTCAAAAGTCAAAAGTGAACATGCGACGTTTTCGTCGTGAATAACCAAGTCCGCGCACGTTGTGCAAACTTAAAGCTGTTTTATCTAGTGCCAACCATTTTCAGTGTTTTGTTTTTGTTTTGTTTTCCCGTCTTCTTTTTTCCCGCAATCTCCACTGTGCTTTCACTGCTGACATTTGTGTTTTGGTCCTCTTAACGGACGTATTTTGTTCAAATTTATGGCTGCAAGCGCACTCGTGTCAAATGAACGCATTGTCGCAACGAAGGTGGTTTTTTTGTAATTCTGTGAGGAATGCAAGGGATTGGCTGTTCCTGACCCCAACTTCAACCTTGGCCTGTTCCGTTCCGCGTACCCGGCTAATTTCCTCTAATTGTCACAACTAGGTTATCGGGTCGGACCGTTACCACAATTGTGGACAGTGATTTCCAACAAGGGTGTCTGTCGTTGGTGAGTCTTCAAAACCCCGGTTGTTCAAATCTCTGCGAGCGACAAACTTGTCTACCTGGGATATGCAAACGACATTGCTCTCATTTTTGAAAGACAGTGAGAAGCACAAACAAACTGACCAATGTCATTTATCTCTACAACACATACAGAGCCATTCCGCGGGGCATAATCTTTGAACATGCCTCTAGGAATTCAAAGGATGGTATTGGAAGTTGTGGGACGGCATACGTATCTTTCAAGTTGCACCAGCTCTGACGGTAGTGTGACAAGTGAAGTCAATGCAAGGGCCAGAATTGCGTTCGACAACTTCTGCCGCTTATGATAGCAAAAATGCACATCACCGAGCTCCACAAGACGCATCTATCAGATTACAAAACAGGCTGTAGTGTTGTACGGCTACCACTTCGAGCAGAGGATCTGAGACACCTTCAGATCTTTGATCACCGATGCCTCAGAACCGTTGGTGGTTTCGGCTGTGATCAGCGAATCCGTGCCGAAGGGACAAGAAGGCAGGATTTTGATGGAGTAGCCGGTAATTCGTCTCAGAGAGGTTTGGTGAACAATCGGTGAAATTATTGCTTGGCAACGTTTCCGAGAAGCTTCATCAGGCCAAGTATGTAAGTAGGCAGGTAGATCGGGTTTTAAGGCAGTCAGAAAACCAAACCGTGTGATTTCTTGTGACTAGCCGATTGATCGGTACTGGGCATTCAGTCTTATGTTAGTGGGGATGACTAACATTTCCGATAGATTGGTTAGGGGGGAGGAGTTGTCTTGATTCTGAAACCGGATATATCGGCCTTGTTCTGACTGCCTTAAAACCCAATCAATCTTACTCACCTGGCTTGACGGATCTTTTGTGTCAAAAGCGAGACGTTGCCCAACCATAAGTCCACCGATTGTTTCCCAGAACTTCCGGAAACGATGACTACCCTATCGGTCCCAAAGATTTTACAATTGATTAGTCGATAATTCACTCAAATATTGCCTCCAGTACTGTAGGCTAAGTTGGCTGGGCCGTCTGTTACCGCCTGCCGAGACGAACGCTGCTTTCAGAGTGTCGGGGACCTCGGGATGGACAGATCTGACATGACAGAAGGAAAGATGTTACGACTGACATCGTTTGTGGTGTTTCCATTCCAAGATAGTGTCCAAATGACCCTCTCTGTGCTTGGCTGCAGACATTGAACAAAATAACAGCTCGCCGACATCAGTGCTGTCAGTTTCCATCCAGCTTGTCTGGCTGAGTGTTGAAAGTGTAGGGGACCATCGAATGTTTTTTGTAGACTGGACATAGTTCCCCATCTCATTTGTTCCTTTTACAGCGGTGAAGCACTAGCGTTCTCATCTGATGTTGCCGCAGATGATGGTGACTGTTGTAAATACCCGAATAAGTTGTGATGGTCACAGAGTAACGTTGGGGACAGCTTTCGTATCCTATTCCCGAGTCGCTCAATGTACTGGATTACAAATGCGCAACTGTCATCTGGTAATAGACCTTGGGCACTACGTTTGCTGCCCTCGCGTACAGAAGTAAGGCACAATAGCTTAATTCATATTCAAGCTAACGAGCCAGTCGTGTTGATCTTCAATGGTTATACATTGACCCGTTGGGTACTTTTGTTTCCACTTTTGTATAGTGCACCACGGACTTCGGCCTTCTTGAGGTTCATCACGTAGGAGCAGTTTCCTAGTTCCCGTCTGCCCCACTACCCCACTTGCGTAAGTGGAGTTATATGCACACGGTTACAAACTGACTTGCTGTTACTGTAGTCTATCGATTTCTCAGCTTAACTACTGCCCATCGGATAGTGCGCAGATGTGGAATACCTGACCATTGTGGCATCCGAGCGCGGTCGTCTGAGGCCATCGGGTAAAAAGGCATGTACCCCCTATGGCCTGGCCTGCCAGTATTCGTTTTTCTCAACAAAAATTGGTTGATTTTTCGGACTGATCCAGTCAAATGTACCCACCATGCATGACAGAATCCTCAAGAAATCTAGTTTGTGCCCGATATTTGAGAACTAGCTCGTTAACGTTATTACTGATTTATTCCAACCTAACAACCTTTTTATAGTATAATCATGTGTACTTGACTCTCGTCATAACGGCGCCGTCTGTTTTGACTCAAACGTGACGGCACACCACATTCGATTTACTAGCAAACTAAAGCATCGACTGAGATACCAACAAAAAAGGGGGATATTTGTCTTCGCGTGAAGCACGAGAGTAAAACAGTTGTCAGCTGATAGGAATAATTGATCAGCTGGTTATCCTTACACAATTCGTTTGTCTTTGTTTCTTTCGAGCCACCTGCCGTGGATGCTCTGAAATCCTATCATTGAAGGAAACTTACCGGTCACTTGTTCGCTCGATCACTGAGTGTTCGGCTTTGCGCATCATCTGCTTAGTATGCTTGGTGTCGACGCATTTTCAGCAACCTTATGAGTAGTACAATACGGTATATGTGTTTGGTGATTCATTCTATCGAAGGCATTGAAAAATATAACTTGTCGGTAGCAATATTTGGACTAGAATAATTTTCAGTATACTCATGTACAAACTAAATTGTTTTTTCGAGGGACTCACCTGAAACCTAGCAAATAAGTGTATTTCGCTAATTTCGTGCAATTTTGTTTCAAGGTTGACGGAAACTCGGGGACTGCGCCTACCTGATGGGCCCCAAGACGGGCGAAACAGGTCGTTGGTTGTCGAAGAATTTTCAGCAACCTTATGTGTGGAGCATTACGAATAAACTGAGAGTTGTTCTTAGACTCTTCTGACCCCATGCAATTTCGCAGCGCTTCCTTCTCATCGCGGATACCAGTCATCTGGCTCGAGTTATTGGAAACCACGATCATCTGTGGTAGACTCGTCAGGAGTTTTGTGAATCACCGTCTGTTGGGAAACCGCAGTCGGTCCCATTTGTTGGTAGACATGTATGTGTATGCGTGCTTATCGAGGTGACCACAGCTGCTGCACGTGTCACTGAAGAAGCAGCCATAAACTCAAAATTTTCTCAGTTCGGTGGGTATCAGTGTGGCGGATATCATCGTTGTAAGTTGTAAGAACCGCGTACTTGTCGCACAGTGGTTGTAGCTGCCACAGTTTCGTTCACCGATGATTCGGGAAGATGGGGTAGGTAGCTGCACATTGGAGGCGGGAGCTGATAAATTAGTGTCCACTTTCAGTGGACTGTTAAGTGGGGGGGGGATGGGAAGGGAGCTATGCATTGAAAGCAATGGCTTGGACGCAAGAGCGCCACTGAGGGCGCGACTGGGCCATGTCTGACAATCTCTCTAGCCATTGGTGTGGCCCGTCTCGGGGTCCCCATCCCGCAAGACGGCAATGATTAGTGCAGCTGAGTTTGCTTGTAATGGCTTTTATATTTCGCTCCTCGACTGAAATAAAAACGCTGATGCCTGCTTTGTTTGCGGTCTGGAGACGGTGTCCGATATCGGATTGCGGAGCAGAGACGGCAGAACGAGGTTTCCAGTGAATTTTTTCATGGAAACCTACAGGCGCAAGTTGATAAGGTTCCAATGTGTACAACAACAATTTTGCTTATGTCGAACTTTTACAGGTAAGTCAACGAACCAGTGTGAACTGTAGAGTTAGTTTTCTGTAACTTCCTAAGTTTATTTTCGAGAGCCGTGACCATTCTGCTCCAGACATGGTCTTGTAGTTTATCAGAGGACTGACTTTTGGGCGTGAAGAGAATTTATTCAGGGGTCACAAAGGCCACGGTGCAGTCTTCTGACAAATCACTTTCTTGGCTCGTTAGAAAACGAAAACTGGACGCTGTTTAATAAGGACAATTGGAAGTCGACATAACAAGGACCGTTACTGTGCAAGGGGTGTTGGGTAAAACCAATCATATCACCCAAGAGTGAACACATTCTCCTGGTGAAAGGTGACGATAGTTCGGGTGCATTGAGCGTGGGTTGCTGTCAAGGCCGAACGTTCGCACTGCTGATGAACTCAGGTTCAACCCTTCTTTCCTCTGGTATAAACTGGTGAGAATGAATGTACTAGGACAGGTAGAGGACTGTTCAAACAAAAGGAAAGGCAAACAACTGTAAGATCAATCATGTGTATCTGGACCCAGTAAGGAATGGATTGGCACAGCAGTCATTCCATATAAAGCAGGAACATCGAAGGTTATTCGAAGACTGCTGAACTTAGCCAACATTCGAGTAGCTTTCCAGAAAAGAAAAAGGCTACGCTCAGTTTTGGTGCAACTGAAAGATTCCTTGTCGGTTGAAAGGACTAGGGACTGTGTATAAAATTAACTGCAACGATTGCACCAAGGACAAACTGTCAGGGAATTGCACACCAGAATTGGTGAGCATAAAAGAGGGGTAAACAAACTGCCAAGGAACGCAAAAAAATACCAAACGCTGGTCAAATACTTAGAGATGGCGGTACATGCCTTAGACACGGATCTGAAGAATGTGGGAGTTTTAAGAAGGGGACTGCGATTCACACCACAGTGGATGATAGCCGAGGCGGTGGAAATTACTAAGCATCACAATGTGAACAGAATAGAGGGTGTGGAACTGACGAGCGTTTGGAAAGTGGTCCTAGATAAGCCAAGTTGACACGTGACTGTGTGTTGTAGAATCAGTAGCAAAAACAGGGAGGTGGGCTGGAAATCCTAACCTGACCAAAGTTCACAGAATCCCTCTTAGCACTAGCTCATTTACACAGACGGACAAAAAGTTCAAACGACGTTCAAGAGGGATCATCAAGTGGACCGAACCAGAAAACTAGACCCTGGACTGTACCCAAATCCATGTAGGTTTCCCCATCGC